GGGGTGTATTTGTTGTTGTTGTTGTTGTTTTTTTAACCCCACCCATACATCGTATGTTGTTTAGAAATATCACCGTTTATACAAGTACAAGAGTGTTCTCTAAACCTGGGTGGGATTATTCTTGACATGAAAACCTATTGGAGTTTGAGTTTCTATTACAATATCATGTTTTTGCCTCTGTTTTTGTTTGTTTTTGGGGTTTTTTCTTTTGTTTTTACCCCATCAATACATGTTTGTTGTTCAGAAATATCGCCGTTTATATAAATCAGATCTCTGGCCTTGGGATTATTCTTGATATGAAAACTCTTTGGACAACAGTAAAACTTTAAAGTAAAGGCTGAAAGCTTTTTATAAAGGTCGATCAATAGCTCTTCATGAATTCTGAGTGGGGTTTTCATCGGCCAATATGTTATTTTAAAAAAGAGAGCCTTCGTTGGAGACGATACAATTGATTCATTCAGTGGATTCATAAACTGTGGGCGTCTTTTTCCTAAGGGATTCATTTGGTCTTTGGCGAATCCTTTTCCTTAGTCTCCCATGGAAAAATAGAAACATTTATTAATCATCAAGTGACAGATTCTCCCTTAAGGTCTGTCAAGAGGTCATAATGGATATTGCAAAGTCGATCAACAAACATTTTGTTCACTGTACATAAGAGATTGTATAGATGTCATTTCATGATAGCAATGTCTGTATATAATGTACAGTGATATTGGAATGACACAACACAGGTAGAGAAAATAATAATTGTACCAACATATTATTTTATGCGTACAATATTTTGATTCTATTTCATGAAAAGAGATTTGGTTTACTTCACTGAGGAAGAAGCCCATTCTGGTACCAATAACGCTTGGAGACGCGAAGATTTTTTGTTGCTTTGCTTTGTTAGAGGTTTGGCTTTTTTATTTTGGGGTGGGGAGGCGGTATTGCGATTGTTCGTTTGCTTGTTTGTTTGTTTGTTTATTTGTTGGTTGTTTGGGGTTTTTCCGGGGGTAGGGGGGGGGGCACTTTAAGACAAGACGCATAACTTCGTTAAATCATACTTTGCAAGATTGTTCATATTATCTGTTTTCTCAATCTGAAACTTGAAAAGGCAGGCAACGACATTCATACTTTGAAATCTGCGAACTCGTGCTTCTGTTCTGTGTATGGTAGATTTCGAAATGTTCTGCAACATGCTTGTCTTTTAGAATGATCTGACATATGTGTTGGTACTTACGAAAAGAGTTAAAACTGGTCAAATGAATTTTCAAAACAAACAAACAAACAAATGACAGTTTGCGCAGCTTTAGATAAGTTAAAAAAACGGCAGACCTTTATTTTTTCAGATTTTTCTGAGTAAACAAGTTATATCCAAATGCTTCAAAACGCTGCTCAAATCATACGACTTTGAAAAACACAAAGAAATGCAATTTGAGAATTTCGTTTTGATTGCACTCTTGTAGATTAAGTTAACCGTAGAATCAGTTTTTGTACAGCTTAAGTAAGCTTTTTCTGTTGCAAAATTATTTCTAATGAACAAAAACAACAAGTCTACTGATTACACTATGTGGGTGCTTTTTTTGTTGTTGCTTCATACTAACTGGTCAGTAGAGCGTTTTGTGACTTGGCCTGTTGTTGTTGTTGTTGTTGTTGTTCCTTGTTACTCTTTTTATCTGCAGTAGCATCTGCCTTGTGATCTATCTATCTATCTATCTATCTATCTATCTATCTATCTATCTATCTATCTATC